GGGGAGCGGCTAAAGCTGCGGTACCAGGAGGAATAGCTGCTGGCGCTGCTGGAGGAGGGACTGGGACGGTAGTAGGGGATGGGGCGTTTGCGGGCACTGTGGGGACAGAGACACGTGTGTTAACAGCAAAACAAGGACAGGTTTGCTGCCAAAACCTCCAAAAAGCACTGCTTAGCCTGCACAACACTCCCCAAAAATTTGACTGTGTTTATTTAAAAGAAAAAAAGAGCGAGCTCAGGTAACTGACAGGCCTTGGGATTCAAACCACCCAGGGGAGTCCCGGCTCTGAGTTCACCTGCCTTTTTTCTTTGATGTAGATGAAACCCCCCCTTCCTCCCTCAGCCCCTAGCTGGAAATCCCCAAGCTCTAGGAGGGGCGGAAAGGCCGGCTCATCAGGCTCAGGGAAACCAGTCTCCTCCTGGAGCAACCTCCGCTGGCAAGGGCTGGGACCCACGGACAGCCCACATCCTCCCCAGGGAGCCCCGGCTGAGCCTGTCTCCAAAAGATGGGACCGTGTCCCCATACCTCGTGATGCGCCGAGCTTCAAGGTGGCTGGGAGAGTCTCTCCGGCGTTTCCTCAGGGGCGAATAGGACTGCCGCCGCCGCCGCCGGGCGCGCTCCCTGTGCGGCTCCTTCTCACCGGAGCCGTACTTGTGCTCTCGCTCGCGGTCTCTGGGGAAGGCACAGATGGGAAAATGTCACTGCTGGGTTTTGTGGGGTGGGTTTTGGACGAGGAGGCAATGATCCATGGAGGCACAGATGAGCGAGGGGCACTCAGCTCCAAAAGGGACCACTCTAAGCAAAGTGCTCTGGTGGCATCAGCCCTGCACACGCTGACTTAGCTTGACAAAGAGACACTCATCTGGCTGGACAGATGGACACCCACAAATTGTGTCTGGGGGTTTCAGCAGTGACTCCTGGTGGCCCTGTGCTGCCCAGCTTCCATGTACCTGTGTATGTGAATGCACTCTGTTTAGCTCTACTACAATTGCTCTTGCTGGCCATGCTGCAGAAGCAGGTGAGAACGCCCCTGCCAGTCGGCCCCACGAGAGCAGAGGGCCCCCGGTATCCCTGCAGGGCTGTGCAGCTCTGCACGCCTTGCCAGAAGGAGTGCCGGTGTTGCTATGGGTTTCTCCTTCGTTAAATTCCTGTACACGTCAGCACAGGCCCTTCCGTGGAGCGTAGCTGACTTCATACACCCTCCTCAACGCCATCTGCAAAGCAACATGTTACAGGTCACAGGCCTGATTGTCGCACACAGGAAATATTCTCCTACACCACTGCAAGGATTGTCGCAGCCTGCAAGAATCAGATCCTGAGGATGCAGCATTTTAAGGGTGCAAAACGTTCACAGCAGCAAAGATGTTACCAGGAAAACCTGCCCAAAGGCACCTCTAGGGCTGAGCTGTGACTTGTGTTTTCTATGGGGTGTGAAGGGACAAGAGTTGCCTGGACTTTGTGTGAGTGCCAGCATGAGGGTACCTGGCATCTGCCCACGCAGCAAGGGCACTTCCCAGGGCCCGACAACTCTTTGCTGGAGCCAGGACTCTGAAAAGCAGAGTGTCTTTCTCTACTGCAATAAGATCCCTCTCTGACTCTGAATAAGATCTTCCCCTGCTGCAGGGGCTGCTGGCTGGCACGGGCTTCTTGGGCAATGAAAGCTGTGGGCAGCCAACAGGAGCCCAACGCTCTGCCCACCGTTCACACCAGCATGTTAGAGGGGTGCTCCCTGGGTTTTCCTATGAGGCATCTTCCACCCGCATGAGACCCTGGCAAACACCCCCGAGCAGCCATCTGTGCTCTCCTGGCTGCACAGCGTGTCTCTCGCAACGGCTCAGAGCGGAGCAACAGCCGCTGCGTATGCCACGCGCTCCGAGCGCGAGATATCACGATGCTGATCTCCCAGCAACCCACTTCCAGAAGTGCTTCGTGTGAAATTGCCCTGAATCAGCGCAGGGCAGTCCTTGGATATAGGAAATCCACTTTTCCCACAGAAAGAGAAAGGCTCAACTCTGGGCTCTTCCCTCTGCAAGCAGCACCAGCTCCGGAGCAACAAATGGTGAGAAATTTCCAGTGGACTGAAGGCCAACGTAATATACTGCCATATGTCTTACTCCGTGCCCTGCTGCTCCCTCACCTCGGTGCTGAGGACTCAAGCACCCAGGGAGGAAGCTGAGGAGCAGTTTGGGGCTGGCAGGAGCCAGCGAGCATGCTGGAGTCAGTGGGAGAGCGTGAGCAGCAGATATCACATCAGGAGACAGCTGTACCTGCTCGGGCTGTAGCGGGAGTAACTGGGGCTCCGACGAGGCCTTGAACTCCTGCTCCCAGGACTTTTTTTGCAGGATTTGGAGGAATAGCTGGGGGAACGTGAAGAAGACCTGGGGACAGGCAAGAACCATAAAGAAGTTAAAGATGCTGGAAGGTGAGGCTGTACCAGCGTTCTCCGAATCTGGGTTCATGGGGGAAGAGATGCCCCATATTTCACGGGCTCGGATCAGCTCTGTATGGCCAGTTCGCCCCAAGCCACGTGGATCCCGAGGCACCCCCAAACTCTCACACCTCCTCCTGCAAGGAGCCTGCCAGCCTGCAAGTTAGACATTGCCCAGGATCACAGAGACAGCCATTTTACAGCCTTACCTCTTTCCTGAAGAGCAGGATCTGCTTCGGGAATACCTGGGAGAGGCTTTGCAGTGCGAGGAGCGGGAGCGGCTGGAGCGGCTGGAGCCAGGCGAGGATCTGCCCGTGCTGGTGTACGACTCGCTGCGGGAGCACGGCCTCAGCGAGGAGCTGTGGGCTGGGGAGGGGAGGAAGTTTCGCTTCTTCTCCTCCGAACAGCTGAGGCACAAGGACAGGCACCCTCTGTGAACACATATTGGGACAGTCATTGAAGCTGTGGCTGAACTGGGACCATGTTCCAGCCAACAAGTACTCCCGTCCTCCCCCATTCCCCACCTGGGGATAAAAAAGACCTCCCAGTTCCCCAGGCTGCTGTTGCAGGAGACCCCTGTATGTGTGGGTCAGAGTCCAAGAGCTCACTCTCCAGGCTGTGCCAGGGAAGGGCTGTGGAAGAGATCTCAGATGGCACGAGAGCTCTTCTGCCCCATGCCCGACACACCAGAGGGGTCTGTTGGCAGAGCCTGGGTCAGGCCAGCAAGCAGTGCAGGTCCTGGGGACGGAGCGAGGCGAGAAGTGCTGGAGCAAGAAAAAGCCGGAGCGTGGCGGGGCAAGCGCCAGTGCTCCAGCCTGGCTGTGGAGCAGCACAAGCGGGCACGTCCAGCTGCCTTTGGACAGGGCTGTGTGAATTCCTCTGCTTCCAGAGGCGCCCTGGGTATGAAGGAGAGTTGGAGCCCAGCAGCGAGGCGGCCTCCCAACAACCTGGCCAGCTGCAATCCCAGCTCCACCCATGTGAAGGCAGAGTTATCCCACTGGAGTCACAATGTGAAAAGTATTTACAGTCCTAAAATTTTAACCCTTTGACTGAAAATCGAGGGCTTGTTCTTCCAAACACCAGTTCCCCTGGCTCCCTCTCCTCTCTAATTCAGTGCTCCCACCTCCAGACCACATCCTGGCTCTAACTTTGAGCATTTAAGACCCGAGGGCCTGAGCTGGAAGAGCTCCCTAACACCACTGCCCAAGCACAGCCTTGGGTACCAGTCACCGCGCTTCAGTACCTGCATCCCAGCATCACCTGGCAAACCCCCAGGAGTGGGAGGCAGTGATGGAGGCTGGCATGTACACCCTTCTCCTGATGATGACCTGTGGCACTGGGTGGTGGTTTGGCTTCTGTCCCCCACCCTGATGCCCTGTGGCCCCAGCACATAGAGCTGCTTCTGTGTTATCCCACAGCCAGCCCCTCGCTGTGCTCCCCACCTGCTGGAGATGCTATCTTGTCACCCAGGACCAGTCCTGAATGAGCTGGGAAGGGGCAGGCTGGATTTGGTTCATTAGACAAGTGAAAGAACAGCCTGTGATGGTTTTAGCAAAAATGAACTCTGCTCCCCTTCCCCACAGTAAGTGGAGGGGGAGAATTAGCACAGCAACCACCTGATGCACCTTTCAGACTTGGCCCAGAAGGGCCAGCCACTCTTTTCTTTGACATGGTCATGTCCAGCTGAGCTGGGCTGTGTTCAGGACACAGCTGCACCCAGGGCCAAACTCTCATTGACCACGTTAATGCCAGAAGAGCCAGCAAAGGCAACGTCCAGGGGCACGATGGCTGGGTTTTCATCCTCCTCCTCAGGCTACAGCATTGGGCATTGCTGGGTTGTGGACTCCAGACTCACAAGACCGCGGGTCTGATTTATATCTAACTGCCTCCAGACCACAAAAACCTCCCTGCCAGCTCACCACTGCAACTGGCGAGCAGGCAGGAGATACAGAGCAACAACGTACCAGGTATTTGGCTGCTGGCAGCAGCTACTGGTAATCACTGACCTTCGGTCTTGTCCCTGGGCATCTGGAGACAGATTTTCCAAAGCTGTTCCCTTGGTCTGGGAAGAGCAAGTGGTGAAGGAATTTCCTGAATCAGAGCTGTTATCGCTGTTGGCCAGTTTGGGCTTCCCGGATGAGAAGGCATGGCCAAAGCCATCATGGACTAGACTTCTTTTCTCCTGGCTGTCCTTTGACCTGGACGAGGTCGTTTGAGTGGAGGGAGGGGAGGAAGTATCGTTTCCTGAGTCATATTCATGATACTCTCCGTTGTGGCTGGCTAGGTTGCCAGGCGAGCTGTCTGCTTTGGTAAAGAGGTCAGCAGAAGACCCTGACTGAGAGATCTGAAAGCAAAAAAGCCATTTGGCATTGTTTGAACGGTTTTTTGGAGGGGTTGCTTTTGGGTTTACTTTGCTTTTTTTTTTTTTTAAATAAACCCAGAAATTTTACCATCATGATGCACTGAAACAAAAGGAAAGGAAAGAAATAAAGAAAGAAAGAAAGAATAAGAAGAAAGAGGAGAAGAAAACAAAAGCACATATCCCTGAAAGAAATCCACGTAAGAAGAAACTTCTTTTCCCCCTGCTATGATAACGGAAAGATTTAGAGACCATGCAAAGAGTATCAGCATGCGATACATGTTAAACAAAAGATTTCAACAACGTAAACGGGCAACCAAAGAATCAAAATAACTAACTAAATAAAAAAGGTGTAACAGAGGACAAAGCCCTTATTTAACCTTAAAGAAGGGGAGGGGAAAAAAAAAAAAGAAATGGCAATATAAATGTAAAACCCTTACATAATCCTTGGAATGAAAACCAAAATAAAACAAAATCTTAAATGAGTGAATTTTTTAAGCTTCCTTAATAAAGAGGCTGAATGAATGTCACTAAAATAAGCAAAGAAAAATCAAATCAAATCAAACTAAGGGCTTCTGTACAAAGTAAAAACTGGTAAATAAACGAGCTTATCACTTTGAAACAAAAAAAAAGGAAAAAGAAAAAGAAAAAAGGAGGGGGAGGGAAAAAAAAATCCCTCTGGAAATAAAAGGTATACAGATACTTCTTTGTGTGCTTTTTTCCCCCTGAAGAAGATATAGCTAATGCGCTCGAGTGACCTCTAATAAATTCCCTGGTGTCTTGCGGATAGCATCCACTTACCCATCAAGAACTCCTCCTTTAGTAGGTAAGG